ATTTCTCCTGGCTTCGTTTTCCACCTCAAAGGATTTTTTTGGGGGGTTCAAGGGTGAGGGGAGTGGCCTGGGGTTGGGGGTGGGCTTTGCTGGACCAGGGCTGGTGGCCAGGGGGGGCTTCGGGGACTGACGCTTCACCGCCCGCCAGACGTCAACATGGAGGACCCCGACGAGAAGTCCATCATCACCTACGTGGTGTCCTTCTACCACTACTTCTCCAAGATGAAGGCGCTGGCCGTGGAGGGGAAGCGCATCGGGAAGGTGGGTTTCGGTCCACGCCCTGTGGCTCCATGGGGTGGCCCAGCCTTGCTCCATGAGATGCTCCATACTTTTCTCCATGAAATGTCCCATCCCTGCCTCCATGAGATGTCCCATCCTTGCTCCATGAGATGTCCCATCCTTTGGTCCATGGGATGACCCACCCTTGCTCCATGTGATGTCCCATCCCTGGCTCCATGAGATGTCCCACCTTTGCTCCATGGGCCGTCCCACCCTTGCTCCATGGGATGTCCCATCCTTGCTCCATGGGACATCCCACCCTTGCTCCATGGGATGTCCCATCCTTGCTCCATGAGATGTCCCATCCCTGGCTCCACGAGGTGTCCCATCCTTGCTCCATGAGATGTCCCATCCTTTGCTCCATGTGATGTCCCATCTGTGGTCCATGAGATGTCCCATCCCTCGCTGCACTGGGCACCAGCAAGGACAGGGCCGTGCTGGTCTCTGGAGGGGCTGGGGCAGGGGGGTTGCAGCTGAAGCCACGCGTGGTTGCTCAGGGGGCTTCTGTGGGCCGCAGCCCAGGCCACCCACCCGTCTCCCGCCAGGTCCTGGATCAGGCCATGGAGATCGAGGCCATCATCGAGCGGTACGAGGCGCTGGCGGCCGAGCTGCTGGCCTGGATCCAGCACACCATCACCATCATCAGCAACCAGAAGTTCGCCAACTCCCTGACCGGGGTGCAGCAGCAGCTCCAAGCCTTCACCGCCTTCTGCACCCTGGAGAAGCCCGTCAAGTGAGCACCTCCTGAGGTTTGGGGGGGACAATGGCGGGGGGGGACCGTGGCCGTATCCTGACCCGGCGCTGCCACCCCGCAGGTTCCAGGAGAAGGGGAACCTGGAGGTCCTGCTCTTCACCATCCAGAGCAAGCTACGGGCCAACAACCGTAAGCTCTACGTCCCCAGTGAGGGCAAGAGCATCTCCGACATCAACAAGGTGCTGGTGGGACGGGGGTGACCTCTCCATCCCGGGGGACCCCGAGAAGGGCTGGGGACCCCCTCGTCGAGCCCGCCGTGTCCCACCCTGCAGGCTTGGACCTGCCTGGAGAAGGCAGAGCACGAGCGGGAGGTGTTGCTGAGGAACGAGCTGATCCGGCAGGAGAAGCTGGAGCTGCTGGCCCAACGTTTCGACCACAAGGCTGTCATGAGGGAGACGTGGCTGAACGAGAACCAACGCCTGGTCTCGCAGGTGGGATGGGTGGCGGGGGGCTTGGTGGGGACCCCCACCCCAGGGCAGGACACCTGGGTCCTCTCCCTGGCTGGGGTGGGGGTGAGGAACCCAACACTCAGGTGATGGGACCTCCCAACGCTTGGGTGGTGGGACCTCCTAACGCTTGGGTGGTGGGACCTCCTGATACTTGGGTGGTGGGACCTCCTGGACCTCCCAACACTTGGGTGGTGGGACCTCCTAACGCTTGGGTGGTGGGACCTCCTGGACCTCCCAACACTTGGGTGGTGGGACCTCCTAACG